GCCCAGCCCCCACCCGGGGAACCCTGTGGCTTCGCCCCGTGGCTTTACCCTCCGGCCTGGGCCCGTCCCCCGCCCACCCACCAGGCGACACCGCCTGGAACACCTCCCAACCCTGAAAGGGAGCCTCTACTGCCGCATTCTGCAGGTGTGGAAACTGAGGCACAAGGAGGTAAACGGGCAGATGGCTGAGCCCAAACAACCAATTTGGACTGAAAAAATCTGAAACCAGTGGAAGAGTTTTATTTTGGTCTGCATTAGGAAAAAAAATAAACTTGCCAACAGTTAAACACTGGGAGAGAACGCGCACACACACATACACACACACACACACACACGCGCGCGCGCACACACACACACACACACACACACACGCACGCACGCACAATCTGCATCTCCAGTCTCTTTTGATCCCTGCCTGGAACTGCCCCTGCCTGGTACCTTTGTGGCCCCCAAGGACACCGGACACCACGGGTCAGCATCCCTGTGCACTCTCACAGTTGTTAATCCCGAAGTCATTGTTTTATAGAAGAATTGTTTATTTATTGAACACCTACTGGGTGCAGACCCTGGGCTGGGCAGACCCAATTCCTGTCCTTGTGGAGCTGACATCCTGCTAGGTGGCACTGAATTCAAATGCTCCTTCTCCACCATCTGAAACAGAAGACACTTACCAGTGCCTTAGCTCCCCTGAGCCTCAGTTTCCTCAACTGTAAAATGGAGCTAAAGTATAAAACCAAAACCAGCCTGAAAGATCAGGCGTGGGATACCAGGGGGTATACAGTTGGCAATGGGTGTACTGTAATGTCAGTGTAGGGGTGTTCGATCAATGTGGGGTACACAGTAGGTGTGGGTGTATACAACTGGTGTGAGGTGTCCAGCCATCCTGGATGTATACTGTGGATGTATACAACTGGCATGGTACACACAGTGGGCTTTACCCCCTCATGCCTACTATATATATGCTCACATACCAACCATCCACCCACGTGCCAACTGTATACTGTGCATCCTGTGCCTGGTTTCGTTGCATCTCCCAACAGCTCTTTGAGGCCAGTTGTATACTTTACAGTACAGCAGACTCTATAGCTAACTTGGCCTTGTACAGTCAGCATTGGGGTGTGCTCAGCAGTATACATTCCATGCAGGGTATACAGTGAGCATGGGGCTGTACAGTCAGCATGGGCATATACAGTTGGTGATCAATCACTGTAGCTGCTGCCTCAGCTTCAAGCACCCCCAGGCAGGGTTCTGGTCACCAACTCAGCTTGTCCCCAGCGAAAGGCCACTGTCCCCACGTGGCCTCCATCTGAGGAGGCCCCGCCCGACCCCCAGGCCACAGGTTTCAGCAAACAGTCAAGGCCAAGGCTCCAAGCCATGCCCTTGCGTGACCAGGACTCCCAAAGAAACCTTGAGGTTCCCAAGGTCCCTGCCAGGCTAATGGCAGGTCCCACCCCACACAGTCCCAGCAGTGGACAGGAAGAGCAGGCCAGGTCCCAGGCCTCTTCCTTTTCCCAGCTCCACTTGGTTCCCTGGGGACACTCGTGCAGACTCAGGACTCCACCCATTGGCTCCACACTGATGAATCCCAAATCCCAAATGTCAGTCCCTCATCCCAGAGCTGCACGCTCATGTGACACCTGTCTCCCTGACTCCATGTGGGGGTCTCATGGTGGCTCACACTCAGCCTGGCTGCATCCCAAGCTAACCCGACTTAAAGGCAGCTCCATGACCCGACTCAGTAACGGCAGCTCCATCACCCCAGATGCTCAGGCCAGAAACCTGGGCCTCCTCTCTTTGCTTCATATAACCCGACTTAAAGGCAGCTCCATCACCCCAGATGCTCAGGCCAGAAACCTGGGCCTCCTCTCTTTGCTTCATATCAACTCTGCCTTCACATCTATCCAGAATCCAACCTCTTCTCACCCCTCCTCAGCCTCCACCCTTGTCACACAGCCTGGCCCAGTGTGGGTTTTCTCCTCCCTTCCCCATGGTCAGTCCTCCCGATGGTAACCAGAGGTGCCTGTGAACACCTAAGCTAGGGCACGTGCCTCCTCTGCTCAGAATCCTTTACAGCTCCCTTGGAGGAAAAGCCCAACTCATCACCATAGCCCATAAGGCCATATGTGATCTATTCTGTCACCTCCCTGACCTTGTCTACTCCCACTGTCCCCTCTGCTCGCTCCATTCCAGCATCCCTGGCCTCTCGGATATACCACATACTCTCCAGGCACGGCCCTACTTCAGGGCCTCTGTGCTAACCATTCTGTTCCCTCTGCTTAGAAAGCTCTTCCACTAGGCATCCACATGGCTCCACCTCCTTCAGGCATCTGCTGAAGTATCACTTCCTTAGAGAGACTTTCTCTGGCCACCTGATCTAAAATAGCCCCCTTTTCCTCTCTATCTCATCACTTTTTAAATTTTGTTTCTTTCTTTTTTTTTTTTTTAAAGATGACCGGTAAGGGGATCTCAACCCTTGGCTTGGTGTTGTCAGCACCACGCTCAGCCAGTGAGCGAACCGGCCATCCCTATATAGGATCCGAACCCGTGGCCTTGGTGTTATCAGCACCGCAATCTGCCGAGTGAGCCACGGGCCGGCCTTAAATTTTGTTTCTTATCACCATCTGACATGTTACACATTTACACATTGATTGTTAATTGTCTGCACCCTTGCCTGTTGGCTGCACAAAGGTGGGAATTTAAGTCTCTTTGTCTGTGACTTTGTCCCCAATGCCCAGCATAGTGCCTGGCATAAAACAGGCACTCAATAAGTGTTTGTTGAATGAATAACCAGAATATATAATCCATGCATATAGAGCTAACACCGAAAATAAAAATGCAATTTAGAGTTTTCCATGTGTACATATTTAAAAAATTAATTTGTAAATTTTATACATAGAAGAATTTAATAAAATGTGAAATTTCTAGTTGGCAGGGAAAGGACAAATCTTCCATTCAGTAGCCCTGACTGCACATTTGGAAGAAAATAAACTTAACCCCATCTCCAGCACATAGCAAAATAAATTCCACATGGATTAATCATGCAAATATATAAAAACTCAAATCTATTACAAGTATGAGCGGAAAACATGGGAGAATACTTCTACCACTTGACAGGAGGTGAGGCTGGTAAGGCAAGTGAGAAGAGAGATAACAGAGTATCAGAAATTTCTGGTGTCAGCTGAAATAGCAGCCAGGCTGGCAGAGGAGGAACAGCCACGTAAAAACAGCCAGTGCTAACTGAAGAGCATTTACCACCTTTTGGACCATTTCCATTATACTAAAGGCCATATCATCAACACATTTTACAGCAGAGAAAACTGAGGCTCAGGGAGGGGAATCAGTTGCCCAAGTCACCCAAGTGGTTCACCCCCAATCCAGTTTTGACAGGTAAGTGGGAGCCACTGAGGGTTTTTGAGCAGGAGCATGACATGGCCAGGCTGGGGAGGGGAGGACATATGTAGGAGT